TAACTTGTATCATTTTTTATTCAACGCTCAGCCTAATTTAAGCATTGTTTACCATGCTCGAAACAGGTTTCTAGAGTTGCACAGTAGCAATGTATTTTATTCCTAACGTCCATTATGCCTAACGTATATTATACCTAACGTCCATTATGCCTAATGACTTTATGCCTAACGTATTTATGCCTAATGGGGTACACTCGCTCCAATCAACAACCAGGTCGGTCGCCTCCGTAATCATCGTTCCCCTCCTGTACTCACAGAAGTCCAGTACCCAGCTCTCCAGCCCCGTCGACATGGTCCGAACCTAGCCCCGCTTCCGCTCAACAACCAACAAGCCAACCCTGCGAGTATCCAAATGGTTCTCAACAGTCGGACAGTTCAGCATCGTCTGGGCTGCTGCTGCGGCCCAGCCAATTTCAGGTTTATCCACCGACCCTGGTTTATCATACGCTGCTGCTGTCTCAGGTGTACCTGTCGACGATTCTCCGTTCACCTCGGAGAAACTTGTGACGCTCGTGGCCGAGGTTATCATCATCATGCGCACATGCAAGACTTGATCTGAACAGCTACACGCTGCCCTGTCCCTTGTCACTAAGTACGAACCGTGAAGCCATCAAGATCGTAAATTGGAATGCTTGCTCCTTGAAGAGCAAACACATCGAGTTTGTTGACTATCAACGAATGGCACATTGACATAGTCGTCATCACCGAGACTCACTTGAAGTCCGAGCTGAACGTATTCCTTCCCGACTTTCGGCTCGTAAGGCTTGACCGCACCAGCTCCGGGGGAGGGGGAGTGGCCATCGCTGCGAGACGGAGCATCAGCTGCCGGCTACTACCAAGCTTCCAGCTGAAAATTATCGAAGCCATCGGAGTTGAGGTGAGCACATCGCTTGGTCCAATCACCATCATCGCGGTCTACTGCCCCAAGTAAACCAACATTAGGGACGGCTCGGCAACAGACTTCCGAAGAGACATCATCAAGCTAACATTCTGTAAACGAAAATTAACATATTCAGGCCACCGTCCATTAAAAAGTTAAGAGTGAGATACAACGTAAAATAATAAAATTCGGGCTTTTTTCAGTGTCCGTTTTGTAAAGTGAACAGATCAGTTTATAACGATTGAACGCTTGCATGAATTTTTGATATCAGTATATTCCAGATAAACTATTTAGGGGAAATGGCTCTAATGATGGCCTATCGATCTAAGATTGGAGCCATAGCTAAAAATCTACTATTAATCAATTTTATCTAGATGAACTCGTCATTGGGACGGTACTAATGTATATTTTTGGCCGCTGAAAATTTAGTCGATTGCTGCATTTATGTATGGGCCCAAATTAGGGGTATTTATAGGGCGACATTACATCCATTTCCTCTATATATAACCTTCAACTCAGCATACTTTAATTCAGATCTCTCTCACTTTTCCTTAATTACCAGCAACATATGTCATGAAAATTATCCAAAGCTGGCACGCACGATTCAGTCCTTTTTGAGTCCTGGCTATGCGTCTAAGCTCTGATATTGAACGGATTTTCCAAGCATGGCTCCTTTGTACCTCTACCATGATGCAGAAAATAAATGTTTCATTTTTTCGAAGAGATTTCAGTTTGTAAAATACAACATACGATTTTCTACAGATTACAGAGACATGCTCCATTTTCACCTCTGGCTGCTTCAAAGCGCAAACGAATGAAATTTCAAATACTACTATCAATACAAGCCGATATTTGTACATACTTCAAATCAAAAATACTTGAATATATACCCATTTTACCTATTGAGAATTGCATATTTGTGAAGCTCAAGAAGCAATCTCAATTTCTGGATGATACTGCAAATGTCCTTCCTAAATAAGAAGAAAATTGGGCCAAATGGACCAAAAAAAAATATGTATGATGAAAAAGTGTCATTTATAGATGAAATTAAAATCCAAATACGCCAATCGATAGGATATTACTTTACAAATCTGCTGGAATAAATAATTTCCAATTTTCTATAAAAAAGAACGCATGTCTACGCAGGGAGAGGGGGGGGGGGAGGGGACAAGAATCCCAAAAACTGCCTACGTAGTTAATGAACAACTCCCTGGACGTGGATCACGGCTTAATCACCTTGACAACCAGTGACAGGTTCTACACGGAAATTATTTATACAAAACACTCCCCCCCCCCTCCCCCCTATAAAGACAACCTGAAAAAAAGACATGACATTTGAGAAAAATTTGCTCATGCATTTTCTAGATATTCTGTTTGTGATTTATCAACCATTAAAACATAAGTGGTATCTCTTTATATGCAATTTGATAATTTCTGCCCGCTCCATTTATTAAAAAAAAACGGCTGGAATTCGGAGACGGAGACGGAGCTTACAAAGTATTTTTTGTGCAGAATATGTAAAAAAGGATGAACTTCGTACTTATTGCATATGTAGAGGTACCAGATATGTTTTACAGTCAGTTGACTGCGAAGGATCGTCAGGCAGACTGTTCTCCGATCCAAGACTGCTGCAGAGAGAGAGTTCGGTGTTATAAAGACAACTTGAAAGCAGTCCGAGGTAATGCGTCACCATCTACGCTGGAGAGGGTGAAAGCAACTCGAAGCATGAAATTCTTATTAATTTGTAACAACCTTTTGAGTTATGAATTTTGGTTGCACTTATTCAAAAATGAATCATTTTTGACCTATTTTTACCAGCGCTAATTTAGTCCAAGAAGTCTAAAAAACTTCTTCTAGAAGTTCATAACTATAAAGAAAAAGATTTGTTTTAATGATTAACATAATCGTGGTTATATTATGTTTTCAAAAAAAGCTCACTTTTAATTTTCTCATCAACATGGCACACTTTAAAACGTCCTCAAAAGGAATGTTTGCTTAAATTTTAAAAGTTTTTGTGCAGTATAATACTACTAAAAGATGTTAACTTCATGCTAGCAGACTATTATTGCATTAGTTTTATTCAAAAGTTTGAAAATTTGACAAAATTACGAATTTATATTTGTATTATGGTTGGACCTAGTTGTTTCCTACATTGACCGTCATGAGTGCTTCGGTTTGTTTAAAATTTCCTTCGCACACAGCAACATGATTTTCTGTTTAATTTCCTAGTCACAACTTTCTTAAAAAAGAGCATAGAGGTAGAATTTTCATGTGATTTGAGGCATCGCATAATGGATATTGATCCAAATCTAAAACTTGCTGCTTCCCTAGGGGTTTTCGGAAATTGAATGATCCTGGCTATTCCTAATAACTGCCATTGAATTTGTTGTTGAAATTTATGTGATTCAATGGTTTTGACCATATTCAGAAACTGGCAACTTTTCTGAGGGGATCAAAATATGGCCAGGTTTGGCCAATGTGGCACTAGGCCACCCAAATGACTACCATTGAACGAATTGTTTAATTCTAATGTGATTGGAGGGATTAATGACCACCCCAGCAGGCCTGGGTTCAATCACAGTCGACGCCGCCGGGATGTTCTGAGGCATAACATCTCTGATCACGCCTTCCTTCGGAAGGGAAGTAAAGCCGTTGGTCCTCGGTTCATGAGTTGATGGGTCGATAGGTATGGTGCAGGTGTGGGAGCTGCCTCCCTGGCGTCGGTAGCATTGGTGCTCAGCACGGAAAACAAGCCAAAGGAAAAAAAAAGAGGGTCACATGATAAGTTTTATTTGTTGGTGGTCGCAATTAGCCTCATGCCTCATACGAGCTTTTGCTCTGACTTTGAAATTCAATAATTGAATCCCCCTAATTTTCAAGTAATGTACTACTTATTGGAAACCAAACGTTTGATTTACGAAAAGTCACAATATTCCATCATTCCACGAACACGCTGTAAACTACATAATGATGGCTGGAGATGAAGCATCTGACTAAAAATCTGCTTAATAAAGATAACCAACCATAATGATGATGCATGATATTTTCATGTTAGGGTTGACCTCAAAATTGGAGAATAAAGAGGTGCTTAAACCTCGTATGGTCGTTATACCCCTTTCTTCCCTACTTCGCTTACATATGAACCAACATTTTGTTCAATATTGAAAGTACCGTCTTCTGATAAGCAACACAACTGCCTGTTGCGTTATCATAAAATGCAAGCTTCACTCTCTTCTCTGCATCAGAGACCTTATTTAAAACTAATGTTGGAGCTACTTTAAAATATTAACGTATTTTTTGGATATTGTTTTATCCTACAACATGCATGGCGTCTTTGTGGACTATACTGGGTTGCTACTCCAAAATATATAACGGCTTGTTTAGGACCCCACATTTGAATTGTTATAAGTTATTACATTCCCGAAAAATACTTGAACCAAAATTGAACCATAATCGAAACATAGAGATACTTGAAAATTTAAGAACAATATATTAGTCAAAAATGCATGACATACATCAATTTTGCGTAGTTCTACGTCATACTGCGTCTTGGACACAATCCTTTTTTTTCACTGTGCATTTGTTGGCATAGATTCAGAGAAGTGGCATTCCTATTTCTACCAATAACAAGTAGCCATAGCGAGCATAACCGCGGGCCTATGCTTGGGCCTAGCTTTGACCAGTCCCTTGCATAGAATGCTCTCAATTAATAATTGTGGATGTGCATCTAGAACGCTAAGTTAAGAGCTGACAAAATGCTCGCTACAGAAGCGTAAACAACCTAGAAGATTGTCATGCTGACTTTCACATCCAACTATCAAGTGTAGGTACCACCATACGTTAGCTTTCATTCCATAAACAACGATTCAGCATTTTCTAAGAAATATTCCACATCCCACCTTACGCGATGGACAGCTGGAAAAAATATGCTTACACCTACAATGAAACAGCTATTAGATGAAACGGTTATATCGTGTTCCTGGTTCCTTCCGCCGACCCAACAGAACTTTAATATTCCACGAAGGTAGTTTGAGCTTTTTTCTCAACTCCCCCCACGATCCTGGGCAGCAGCAGTTTACTCAATTCATTTCTTTTCTCCTTATTCTCTTTCCTTCAACAGCATCAACGTCACGTCCCAGTCGTATTGGGGTTTCTGTTATTAGTTCTACCATTCCTGCCGGCCACAAATTTAGTTGTAACCGTCGGTTTTGTCGTTGCCGAACGGGTGCTCTACATTCCAAGGTAAGTCCACCGTACATTTCACTTTCCTAAGCACATTTTTTTCCCCCTTGCTGCATGATTATGGTAGCTATAGCAAATGCGAAAGAAGCAACTTCCGTGTTGTAGCCGGGGCTGCTATGGTCTGAGAGAGAGAAAAAGAAATACGGAACAAACACGCATCTCGTTAAGCGATGGTATATGTCTTATGAATGGGTAGGTTTTTTTACGGTTCTACGTCCTCGGATTGTGGCGAATTGGTTCGGTCGTTTTCGTTGTGCTTCTGTTTTTCTTCGCTCTTTTTTTTTGCTGAATCGAATCAATTTATCGTGAGATAACACGGGAAAGGAAGAGCGGAAGTTTTCAGAAGTAATCAAACCTAAATTGGATTCGTTATGGCATTTAAGGATTTTATCTAGATTTCCCAGTACCTTCGATCGATTGATGATGGCACACATGGAACTTGGGGTAGAAATAGGCTTTTTATTACTGTCGCAAGCTGAAGTTTGCTAGCTACAATGAGATGCTCAACGTACAATCAATCATAATTCCGTTTCACTTTCAATGATAGATGTGTAGAAACATATTGCACCTGATTATAAGATTGATATTCCAAGAGCACGTGAGTGGCCTGGGCATATTCCCAAGTAATCGAAAGTTCTGATAAAAGGCTATTTAAGGGTAAAGCAGCTTGGTTGAAGGTGGTGTGTAATTCTAAGCAGTATAATTTTTAAGACGTTATATGAACCTGAACGTATAATTGAATAGCATTCTAAGCAGCTTCTAGCGGCGCCGGTGGTGTAGTGGTAATCGTGATTACCAATCACCCCTGTAGGCCTGGGTTCAATCCCAGTAGGCGCCGCCGGGATGTTCTGAGGCATAACATCTCTGATCACGGGGGTAGTAAAGCCGTTGGTCCCCGGTTCGTGAGTTGATGGGTCGATAGGTAGAGTACAGGTGTGGGGGAGCTGCCTCTCTGGCATTAGTAGCATTGGTGCTCAGCACGGAAAACAAGATATTCTTCTTCTTCTTCTTATTCGAATTTCAAGCTTATTGCTTTGTTAATATTAGCTTTTTGCGTGCTCTTAACTTAGTGTTCTATCTAAATGCACTTCCACAGTTATTAATTGAAAGCTTTCGATGCCAATACCAATCCATGAATTTGTATATTGTGTGGCAAGCACAATGATACTCTATGCCCAGGGAAGTCGAGAAAATTTCCAACCCGACCGGACCGGGAATCGAACCCGCCGCCTCCGGCTTGATTATACTGTGCCTTTACTGACTAGACTATGAGCCCCATTTGTTATCCAGATTCAAGAATACCCATATTGTAGGGTATGTTTCACAGTTTTTCTTAACCCTTTGGCAATTTTCGCAATCTTGTTTATTATACGAAACGATTCTTTTCTTTGCCTGCATCTTACTTCTTCATCTTCTTCTTCATTCATTTATTCAACGTCGGTTTCTGTTCGCCAATCACCGACGGACATCGATTGCCATGCATTGACGGTAATCGAATGTGCAGGAAGGCAGCTTCCACGCCTGCGTAGGATATCGCACCCATTATAAAACACATGGGCCGGGACCAATGGCTTTACTTCCCTTCCGAAGGAAGACATTAGAGATTTTTATGCCTCAGGAAAATCCCACCGACCTCGGCTGGGATTGAACCCAGACCCATTGGGGTGAGAAAGCAGTCACGCTTACCACTACACCACCGGCGCCGGCGTCATTGCATCTTAGTTAAAATTTACTTTTATTACATAGGGGAAATGGCTCTTATGTTGGCCTGTGAGTCTAAGATTGGGCCCATCGCTAAAAATCTGCTATTCATCAATTTTATCTAGATGAACGCGTCATTGAGACGGTACTTCTGGATATTTTTGGTCGCTATTGAAAAGTTAGTCGATTGCTGAATTTATGTATGGGTCCAAATTAGAGGCATTTAGGCCGACATTACATCCATTTCCCATATCAAATTGCATCACGGAAAAAACGCTGTAGAAAATTACCTAGTTTACTGATCTTTTTCAAACTTTCATATAATAAAATATAACCCATTTGTAAGCTTTTGGTTTATTTATTTCATTCAACTTCAATATCATAACCGTACTCTCGCACCTTACGCTTAACTCCACTCATTAGGTTCTGTCCAACATATGGCTGCAGCTTCTTCTGTACGGAAACCCATGGAACTTCATGTCTTCCTCAGATTTGACCTCCTTGTGATGCTTTTGTAGTGCCTGTTTCTAAATAGCCCAGTATTTTTCGATGGGTCTTAGTTCCGGTGCGTTGAGGGGGGGGGGGGGGGGTGTTCATGTCATTGGGTACGAAAGTGACCCCGTTGCCTTCGTACCACTCCAGGTTAACATTTTAATAGTGGCACGAAGCTAGATCCGGCCAGAAGATTGTAGGGCCCTCGTGTTGCTTCAACAGAGGAAGCAGACGCTTCTGTAGACACTCAATGAGCTAGATCTAGCCACATGAGCAAAACGCTAGTCAAGTCATGTATTTCTTGGAAAACTTTGAAAGTTTCTGCTTCTTTACTTCCTTCGGAACGTCAAACTTATGCTGGGCGATGAAAAACAGTAGCCCCGGAAGCTGCCGGAAATCCACCTTAACGTAAGTCTCATCATCCATGAAGAGACAATGAGGCTTTGTTAGCATCTGGGTGTACAGTTTCCGGGCCTGTGACTTTCCCACCGTATTTTGCCGTTCATCACGATTTGGAGCCTTCTGCACGTTGTCCCACCAGTGAGCGTGCATAAGGGTCTATACGCGATGATCGATTCTCTTCGTCGATTTTCTCTTTTGTTAATAACTCGCTAGATTTAACGTTTCTCGGTGCGTTTGCTGTTGCTTTTGATAGCCAATACAACCTGTTACTACTCTGCATTGAACAAATTCTAGAAAAATGTTTCGCTTAGCTGTAGCAATGCAAAGAGAAAATCGATGAAGAGAATCGATCATCGCGTATTCGCCCTTATGCATGCTCACTGTCAAGTTGAAGAAGAGTGGAAAGGTGACTCGGGATGGGCCAGAGATGAAGAGATGTTGGAACAAAACTGTGACAAGTAACTCCGTTCGTTCACTCAGTCCAGAGTATTCTTTCCACAAATGGGGATTTATATACGTTTATAGAGGAAAAATCATAAATAAAACCTTAGCTTAATTAATTAACCTTCGGGACTTAATTCAACTAAAATCATAAATACAAAAGCTATATAAGTAATAACATTCATGCAAATAATTAAATGCTTAAACTAGGTATCAGGCAAAGTTTATCACGACGGCTCACGACTAAATAAAAAAAAACACACGCGCAACACATTGTGAGGGTTTTGTACGCTGCCTCATGGTATTTTTGGTAGCAGTACTGCCTGATGGGTGGATGCAGCCCAGTGGCAGGCAACATGTTATACCGTGACAGCGGGCCCAGCACAGCAAAATAAACGATTTGAGCCCGGGACATGCTGCCTAATGTCAAACGCTGCTGTTGGTATAGGCCTTGTCACTGGCCTGGGTGGATGCTCACTACATCAACCATGGAAAAGGCCTATTCACCGGTTCTCAAGGATTACAAGTCTGGAGGCTCGGTCACTTGCTTGAGCACCAGGAAAGCACCCACATCTTAGCTCACGAAGAAAATTTTAGTGAAGGAATTTATTCTCCATAAAGCGGTGGAAAGGTTCTTAAGGGTGATACGGTCAAAATTTGGTCAAGGGAAAACGCGTGTAAATCGGTGAAATCGTTTATTTAAAAAATCAAATTAAATTTCTTTTTCAAGTTCAATTAGTATAAAATTCAGGAAAACTATTCAGTTAGGCTTCCGTTTTTCCAAATCCGAATTGCCGGGCCTTACGCTTGACCCCTGCCATCAGATTTTGTACAGCCACCTTGTTAACCTTCTTCGCCGCAGAAAGCCAGTTTGCCTTGAACTGCTGCTCGCCCTTAGCAGTTTTTTTGGTCTTCTTTAGGTTCCGCTTGACAATAGCCCAGTATTTCTCAATTGGGCGGAGCTCTGGCGTGTTGGGAGGGTTCTTGTCCTTGGGAACCACCTGCACGTTGTTGGCGGCGTACCACTCCATGGCCTTTTTACCGTAATGGCAAGATGCCAAATCCGGCCAAAACAGTACGGAACAACCGTGTTTCTTCAGGAAAGGCAGCAGACGTTTATTCAAACACTCTTTCACGTAAATTTCTTGGTTGACAGTCCCGGAAGCTATGAAAATGCTGCTTTTCAAGCCACAGGTACAGATGGCTTGCCAAACCAGATATTTCTTTGCGAACTTTGACAGTTTCATGTGCTTGAAAACATCTGCTACCTTTCCCCTTCCTTTTGCCGTATAAAATTCGACTAAAATATATACGTACCCTAATTAACAAAGCACAAGCAATACAAAATCTCAAATTGGCCACTAAATACTACAGGGGTGCACCAATAAACAAAAAACAAGTTGCAATAGAAATGAAGAAAAAGGCAATAAACAAATAAAAAGCATCTTTTAATAATTTGAATGTGAGCGGTAAAAATGGCAAAAAGGGCAATAGTAAATACAATACGCTCAATTAAATAAGGATGAATCTCCACTAAATTAGGAAATTTGAGCACTAAATAACGCACTTTCGTCACCTGCAGTTGAAGATATTTTCCCATAAAAGTGGCAAAATGAGCAATGTCATATTGAATAACCGCAATAAATAAATCTAAAATGTCCCACACAAAGCGCACAGTTATCACTGTTTTAATCCAATTATGCTGTAAAATCGTGATTATTTCCCCAAGAAAAAAATGAAAATATCTTTTAAAAACTGAAAAAGTTCCAGGAACCAGAAGATAAATGTATGCTTGAACATGAGGATGAGCCATCGTAAAATATGAATCGTTCTTAAAGAAAAGAAAATAATTCATGCAGGAAAGTAAAAATGAGCAATTAAAAACGAACACTGCGCAATATAAAATAAAACAAAATTCCAATGATATTCAGGAAATATTCCTTTAAATTGAAAGTTTATGAGCC